GCTGCTCTTCCAGAGGTTCTGAGTTCAATTCCCAGCAACCACATGGTGGCTCACAACCATCTGTAATGAGATCTGGTGCCCTCTTCTGACATGAAGGGATACATGCAGACAGAGCACTGTATACAAAGTAAATAAATCTTTTAAAAAAAAAGAATGTAAATAAATACTTGTTCTGGTGGAAGATCTGCCTCAACTCCCCTCCCCCATTGCTTTCCCCAAACTCTCCCCTTCAAAACCTGTCAAACACAGAGGCTCAAGACCATTCCCACAGGGTTTTTAAGCTGCATCCCAGAAAACAGACACTTGGTTTTCCAGTCTCTTGTCCCTGTCTCCTCTCTGTGGGGGCTGGGGAATCACCTGGGAATGCTTTACCCATTAAACCTGGGCTTTTTCTAATTTGGTCTGATTTGGATTGCTGCATCGGCAGAGAGGCCTATTGGCAAAAAAAAGTATCAATACTGCTTTTTCAATTTTTTTTTCCTGCTTTTTCAGTTTTCAAGAGGAGGTGGTAATTTGTTCCTCTCATCATTCTTGTTCAGGGCTCTGCCACTAGCCACAGGAGTCTTCAGAGCACTTGAAATGTAGCTGGGCCATCATCTCCCAATGTGCTGTAACTGTAGTTCACATTCCAGATCTTAGAGTCTTTGTATGTAAAATGAATGCAAGATATTTCAATCATAATTTTTAAAATATGGATTGAAGGGGCTGGAACGGTGGCTCAGTGGTTAAGAGCACTGGCTGCTCTTCTAGAGAACCTGGTTCTGTTCTCCGCACCCACATGGTAGGTCACAGCTGTCTGTGACTCTGATCACAGGGGCCTCTTCTGGCCTTTGGACACCAGGCATGTTTATAATGTGCAGACATTCATGCACACACAATATAAAATAAAAAAAAAGAAAAGATTGAATGCCAAAATAGTGTGATCTCATATATGTTAAGTGTAAGTTTACTTGTTTCTGTTTACTTTTGTTTCAAATGACTAACAGAGTTTAAAATGGCTCAGAATGTATTTCTATTAGCAACATGTCTAGAGGTTTGTTGAAATTCAGACTAAACATGACTTTCATTGTACCATTTGAAGGTAAATTATCTCAGTTTGTTCAGTTTCTAAACTTGAAAAATTCCAGAATTCCCCTTGTTAATGGTACTTTGTGACAACTTCCAGGATGTTCTGTTTCAGAGATACCTTCCTGCACAGTCACTACTTCTGGAGCTTTCATTGCAGGTGACCTCCCTTTTTTCTAAAAACACTCTTAGAACTTTCAATTGTAAAGACACATTTTTGATACATTTGGCTTTTTCCAGGCATGTATGTGTTTTTTCCCCTTTGTTATTTAGAAATAATGGTTCAATACTTCTATACATTGGTGATAAGTCTGTCCGCAATCATTTTCTTAATGGTTTTCTGATCCTTTGAAGACCTTTTTTTGATAAGTAATCCCCAGGCTGGAAGACCTTTTTGTCCCTGCTTTTGAGTATATTATGGAATTGTTTGATCTTTCAGGATTGGACCACTGGTCCTGATGATAAAGCCACCTTGCTGTCTAGTAGGGTAGAAAACGGCAGCTTCTGTGACAACATGGTGCTTAGTAGCACTTAACTAGGTAAATACTTAGTAAAGGTGTCTTTTAAAGCAAAGGATTTTCCTATCAAAGATAAGTCCCTTTTTTTAAATTTTGTATTTACATTGTATCTCCATTAGTCTCCCTTCAGATTAGAAAAAGGTAGAGGATCTTTGTTAGACATGTGCTCATCTTTAAAAAGATACAGTGTCTCTCTATCAGACTGCTATGACCTCAGGTTCCAGAACATCAAGGCAACATTCTTTTAAAGGCATGCTTCACTTTGGTGTGACTCCAAGCTGAGAACCAGTCTTCCTGTTGTCCAAGGGAAAGGACAAGAAGACACTTCTCAGGATGAGCTGGCTCGGGCATCACCTCTCCAGGTGCCACGAGGACAGTTCCTTGCTCAGGACACACATGCCACTCTTCTCACTCATGTCATCTGAAGATGAGCATTTCATCTCTGACTTGAGGTAGGAAGTCGGATGACTTTTCTCCCAGGTTTTGCTGTTAGTTGGAATACCCAGCCAGTCTCTTTGTGAAAGGAGCCCAGGCAAGAACAGCGGCTTGTGGCGAGGGTGGGAGTTACCTAGCCCCATGTGTACTTGGAAAGGTGGCAACCGTGCTTGGCTCGTGAAAGAAGGACCGCTTGAGTTAAAGGAAATCTCTTCATTCTTAGTTTAAATTGTCCTATCCTGGCCAAGTGGAACTTTATTTCTGGTGACTGCCTGTGATTTCCACGCCTTTGACATAAACATATCAGAGATTTGACTTCGATTAAGAATTTGAAGTAAACAAAGAGGCCTGAGTGGAAGGTACAATAAATTCTTAGCATTGCCCGTTTGATTAAAGAATTAACAGAAACTGCCCAGACTGACGCATTCAAAGTGAGGACCGTCAGCATTTGGTGGGGAGGGTGCCTGGCTTCTTAGGAGAGGAAGTTAGGACAGAGTGAAGCCAGAAAGAGGGATGGTGTATTGTACCAATCTGAAGCATTCCTAGGTAGGAGAATCCGATGAGACTTTGGCTACTGTCATCCCCGTTTCCCACTAAAGCTTCCCTCTGCTTTTGATGAGCATCTCCCTTGGTTTTCTCAGGACCATCTCGATTTTAGCACCAAAAGTTCTCTATCCTAGTTCTCTTTCCTCTATCCTGGAAAATTGAGATGGTGGATCATCCTGACTGCATTTCAAGATATATTGGCTTAAAAAAAAAAACTGAACCAGGTGTCTCTGCCTTCTTTGTTCCCCAGAAAAGTGAAGAATGCCCATGTCACACACTGGATGTTAAAGTCATTTTAACACTAGCTGCCATCAACTGTATGCCTACCATGTACCAAGTACATGATACTGTTGAAGGCTCATGGCAGCCAAGAGCTAGAGTACTTAAAACGCTTTTGGAGGAGGAAGAAGAGACCAGAGCTGAGGGCAGTGATGGGATCTTTCTTAAGCTTAAAGAATAGAATGCAGCTGAGTTGGATTTGAAATTCAGTGTGGACAAATCTGCTCTTTCTGCTTGTGAATGGACAGCGTCTCTGATTTGGCACAGTTCTGTGGCATCCGCTGTATCCATCATGTCCGAGCTTGTTCCTATTCTTCATGGTGGCATAAGCATCCTTTGGGGGTCATGTGCAGACAAGCTGCCAAGAAGTTACAGTAACTACTTCATCTCATCTATAGCAGTCCCAGATTAAGATAGGCCATCCCCCTACCCCCCCCACCCCGCTCTTGCTTCTCTCTCTCTCTCTCTCTCTCTCTCTCTCTCATTCTTATTCTGTTTTGATAGGGTTTTGCTCTGCAGGCCTCACTGGTCTCAAATTCTCCTGCCTTATTTTCCCCGGTACTGGGATTACAGGTGTGCTATGTCACACCTTGTCATCTTTCTGTTTTTAATGGGACTACTAAATGCCTGGCACATAAAAAGTACCAAGGGAAGGGCTGGCATTGTTATTTTAAGCATGACAGATGAACAATAAGCTTGAACTGAAACATCTTTGCATTTATAAATCTAAACATTTTAATAAAAATAAATCACCAAAGATTCAGAGTATTAGAACAGAGTTCTTATTGAGTTCAAAATTAAGCAAACTCTCACACACACACACACACACACACACACACACACACACACACACACGTAATTGTTTCCAACAAGTAAAAGTTAGCTTCTCAGTTATTTGATTTGGAGTAGATAGAAGACTGGCTTCCTTGCTGTGATAAAAGGTGCTATGCACATAATTTTAAGATAGAAGCAGAAAATTCTTGTCTAGGGCTGCAAGCTGTAAATGGTTCATTTCGGGGAGGAAAAATCTTTCCAGGTGCTCAGCCCTCAGAAATCCCTTCACTAAAATCAAAGATGATTGAAGCTCTTAGCATAATGATGGAAGCCCTCACTGGTAGGCATCATGCCGCGAAGGAAATGCCTTGGATTGTGTAGAGATGCATAAAGCTTTTAGGCTGCCCTCTGCTTTTATTTCATCAGTTCACACCCGAGAGTTATGTCCTCTACTACAGAATTGAAACGCAGTTCAAGTTGCGTAATTTAGCCCAGAGGAGCTGGATTTGAGAAAGACTTGAGGACAATAGAAGAGACAGTGAATCTATTTGATCCAATCAGCAAATATTTATCAAGTACTCACTCAGTTTCAGGGTAGTGTGCTGGATGCTGGGCATGCAAAGAGGAACAACAGTATGTGCTTCCTGGCAATAAGGAGCTCACGTGAAAGGAGATGAAATAGGACAAGTATGAAAGCAGGTTCTTCAGGACCAGTTTCAAATGTTCATACATGGCTATGACAGAAGACCCCAGGCCAGGTGGAGTTAGTAACAACTAATTCCCTGAGTTCTGGAGGTTGGAGTCTAGGATTGGGGGAATACGGTTGGGTTCTGTGAGGCCTCACCTGGCTCACAGGGTACTTGCTTGGTGTCTCTTCATCAGTCCCATTAACTCAGGATTCTATCCCTCTGACCCACTGAACTTTACTTCCTAGGAGTCATCTCCATATACAGCCACACTGGGGGCTGGGGACTCAATATGATTTCAGGGAACATCTGTCAGTCCACAGAAATAATCCCTAACTCACTTCAGAACAGGCATCAACACATACATGTGCCATAATTCTCTTTTTCTTCACATACATCTGAGTGGAAAACAAAAGGGTATTTTACAATTGTATTTTGAAATTATCTGGTTATAAGTAGTGATTAGCCACTGGCTGCTGCTTTTCAGCAACCATGCCTCTTGAGAAACAAAAAAACCTTAAACGTATTTTCAAATACAATAAAATACTTATGAGTTGGACTGAGTGTGGTGACATAAGCCTTTAGCCTAGCACTCAGTAGGCAGAAGCAAGTTCATCTCTATGAGTTCCAAGCCAGCCAGGACTACATCAGTCTGTCTCAAAATGGAACAACAAAAACACACCAAACAACAACAGAATTCATAAGTTTGAAACGGACATAATGTTAACTTTCGGTGTTTGATTTAGCATTAATTTTGTTTTACATGTTTTTCCAAGTCTTAAGAGCACATAAGATCTTAAATTGGTAATTAGATCCTAAGTATTATCTCTAATGCCTAACAGATAAAAAGACGAGGGGTGCTCTGGCGCCGAGACTCCAGCCCAGCCTCCCTTCTGAGCTCTTGTGTAGCATTCCCAGCTCTTTGTTTAGGATCTTGATGACCCACTGGGTCTTTGGACTAGGTGTGTTTCAAGCATCTTCCCTTCTTGCCTACCTCCTGTTCTGTTTTCCTTGCTGTCCTGTTGCAGAGACACCGCCTAGCTGGTGAAGACTTGGAAGCTATTGCAGTCACCAGTGGCCTCCAAATCCACCAGGTGTCAGGTGGTAGCAGAATGCTTGCTTAAGAATTCCCTGGAAACCTGTTATGGTAGGAACTTCTGGACTTCTTTGGAGACCTATGCAGTTGGTCTGGGGCAAGGCTTTGGAACTTGTTTCAACAAGTTGTCCTGTTCGGTAATGCTTGGGCAAGCTATTAGCTTTCTTGTCACTGAGACAGAATGCATGATCTAAACAACTGAAAAAAAGACTTATGTATTTTCACTTATGATTTCAGAGATTTCAACCCATATTCCTCAGCCCCATGGACTATGGGCCCATGTTGAGTTCATCATGGTGGTGGGAACATATGAAGGAAGATAGTGTAGGATAGACAGGAAGCAGGGAGGGAGGAAGGGGCTGCTCTCTGGCCCCTTTAAAGGCTACCTTCAAAGGCATGACCAGCCCCCTTCACAAGGCAAAACCTTCAAAGGTGTGATCCCAGTGAAGTACTTCTTCCAAATAGGCCTTACCACCTAAAGTTTCCGGAACCTCTCCAAATCATACCACCAGCTGGGGACCTTCAACACAACAACAACAAGAGCATGAACTGAATGGAATGAAAAAGACATACTATATCATAACATCTCATTGATTTTATTGCTCCAAATTGGATCTGGAGGGCTCCCCAGCTGTTTACCCCCAGGGCAATACAATCTTATGATTGGTCAGACTTGTTTCACTTTGACTTCTAGGGCATCTAGAACTTGGTGACAGCAACAATGGTTCCTGGGGAAATGGTGTCGTGTCTTGTTCATTTAATTGTGAATGTGAGGCAGGTTCCTTCCTTAATTTTCCATAGCACATCAGAGATCAGGTGCAAATGTTTCATGAGGCTTGCTGTAGGAGAGTCATACAACAAGGTAATGACAACATGGTGCAGGCTCAGACTCATTCTACACCCCACGGACTCCAAGTTGACCCAACTCTCCCATGAACCTTGAAGCAGCTTACTTTCATCGACAGAAATGACAGTTGCCATTTCCATGACTGAGATTCAGGCCAGACTTTCCACCTCAGAAAGAGGAGCGTGTTTTTCCCTCCCTTCACTGTGGCATCCCAGTCCCTTGAGCATTTGTTGGCTAACCTAGAATCGCAGAAAAGTGGAAGCATCCATTCTCCTCAGGGAAAATCAGCTCCAAGTTAAAGTTGTGGGGTGTTCGGCATCGGGGCCATCCACATGTCAGCTCCAGTAGCTGAGTCCCGGTTCTAGCTGCTCTCTCAGTTCCCCATCCTTCTTTCTTTAACAGATGCTCACCACTCTTGGGTTATAGCTTACTTCACCTGTGGTGCACCCTCTGGAGACAGTAAATTAATTATATGTCTTTCAGTTGGTACAATAAGCTCCATGAGATAGTGTTCCCTTCTGAAGAGACAGGAAGTAGGAGCGTAAACCACTTAGCTGAGGCCATGTCACCCGGGAGGGACATGCTGGCATCTGACCTGATGTCTCTTTGTTTCAAGTTTGTGGATTTAGCTATTATGAAGCCCTGGCAAACATTGAGGTGATAGATTGGACATTGAACTTGAGTGATAGGTTGGTCCTTAATGGGCCAAAAAAATTAAAAAGCCAGAGAAGGCATGCTGAAAGAGGGGGCTGATGGAGTCAGCCTGGATTATGAATCAGTCTCTTGGCACCATGGGTCTCTGATCTCTTCTTTATTGTTCTGTCTTGATCAATGGTTATCATTCTTCAGCATCTTTGCTAACAAGTTAATCATCATCCTCGACTCTCCAGGAGCCAAGTACCAGCTCGTGCCGTGGTGAAGCAACCTATCCGCGGAGCCAGCGGCAGGACCACGGTCACAGCTATTGTTCAGACTGGTGGAGACTGGAGCACCGGCCTCTTCAGTGTCTGCAGAGATAGGAAAATCTGTACGGGTTTCCTTTTCACTCACGCTTCTCCTTACCATTTTCTCCCATGAGGTATCAGTAAGTGGGAAAAGCTACCCCAGCACAAGGTCAGAAAGTAAATGATTTCAGTTGAACTAGACTAGTCTGGTGTCTCAAGCCTACTCCTGAGTTAGGGGGAAAAATCATGGTTTTCAACAATGTAGGCCCATTCACAGGACAATTGCTATTTTCAAAGATTTTTTTAAAATTTAAATGGTACAATCCATTGTTGGCAAAGATACATATAGCTCCCTTGTCCACTAGATAGGAGAGTGTGAGCTGATAGAAAATAGCAAGGATTACAGTAGCTGTTTACCTGATAACTACATTTCTTAGTAGGAGCTTAGTCTGAGGAAATACATTATGTGCAACATTTACCATGAACATTAACACTGAAGCATTGGTTACTGTAGCAAAGCTTGGAACAGCATATATATTGCATCCATCCACTGAATTATTATACAGCTATGAAAAGTCATGTAGTAGAGTACATTTAATGAGTAAAAAGATCTTTTGTGTACAGTTTTGTTTTTATTCATTAATTTATTTTTTGAGACAAGGTCTCACTGTGCTTCCCAGGCTGGTCTGGAACTCTTAGAGATCCACCTGCCTCTGTCTCCTGAGTGCTAGAACTAAAGATGCATGGTACCACACCTGGCTTGCATATGGTTTTGAGTTTAAGAAGCCGAGTGAGTGCAAAACTGTGTTCATCAAGTTCCATCTGGAGGAAGTGAAAGCATTTAGAAAAATATAGAAGGATACAAATACTATTATTTACAGCAGATGTCTCCAGATGGCAGGCTAACATATGCATTTCATTTTTTTTAATTATCTTCAATATCTCCATGAAGAATATGCATTACTCTTGTAACAAGAATGATCTGAAAGGAAACCCCCTTTGTTGACTGAGGTCTTTTCTGGCTCTGGTTCAGTTGTCAAGAAGTTCTAGTTTCAGAACTGACCTCTGGCTCAGAGCAAAGGCACACTGAGCCTCTGTTTATCTCACCTGCTGGGTGTCACCATCCAAGAACCTGTGAGAAGCCAGTATGTGTCCTGCCTTCTGTCTACCCTGTTCTCCCTGGAGGCAGCTACTCCTATGTTAAGAGTCTAGATAGAGTCCACATACTTAGGCAGCTATGGAGAGATTTTAAAAGAAAATATACTTTAAAATTTAAAAACACCATTTGATGATCATAAAAAAGAAAAATATAAAAAGACAACCAAAGGACAGAACAGTATCTGTAGGTGTGGATGTTTTGGTGCTCCCCGCTCCCCCCCGCCGGCTCCCCAGATCCCTTATATTTGTGCATAATTTACATAAATGGAAGAATTATAAATGCACATTGCTAGACACCTTTGTTTTAATGTCACACACATTCAGGTGATCACACCACATACGCACATCTGGAGCTAATTTCTTAAATTGCTTTATGAATCCCTTTGTACCACAGTTTGTTTATGCAGAAACTCCTATTGGTCGACCTTTATGTGGTTTATGCAAACCAATGCTGTGTGACTATCCTTGTTCAGATGCCATTTTTGCATAGTGTGAAGATATCTGTCTTGGGTAATTGCTAATGAGTAAACTTGCTCACCAAACCGAACATGCCTCTTTAAATTCTGGTAGGCGTTGCTGAGTGGCTTTCCTTCTGGAAGGTGAATTTGTTTACACTCCCACTGGCAAAGCATGCATGAGCTTTGTTCCTCTCTAGAGCATCTTATTATTGGAAGGCTCGGCTCCCTTGCAATAACTGATCTGAAATGTGCTGCACTCAAGTTTCCACCCGCCTTGCCTACTTCTGCTCTCTGGGCCTCTACACCACGGCTTCTTGTCTTTGTCTTGACTTGCCTGTGAGTTGGAAGAATGGCATTCCACACACAAGGGTAGAGAACAGGCCTGGGTTTAGGTAGGCTGTGGAAGTAAAGGAAAAGACTGAATGTGTGCCACAAATCCCTATTGACCTTGAGCTCCGTAAAAGAAGAAAATATATGACTAATATGCTGTTGGTACATTCACCTTATAAAAAATGAGATGTTACAAAAAAAGGATCCTTGTCTCTTTGTAAATACCAATTTGGGGTTGTAAATAAGAGCAGCAACAAGAATCAGTTGGGAAGATTCCCTTCCAGGTATTTTCTCTGTATTTACCTGTGTATCCATTAGCAATATATGTTACTGCTTTGTAACTCTTTAAGCAAAGTGTAAATGGTATTAAACTGTACCCCTTATGCAATTTGATTTGTTTAAATTCAAATTAGTCTTAGAGACTTAGCTATATTGGTGTTTAACTGATCTTTTATCATTCTTTTAAAAAAAGTGTGTGTGTGTGTGTGTGTGTGTGTGTGTGTGTGTGTGTGTGTGTGTGGCATATGCAGGTGTGGGTACCAGTGTGCATGGACAGAGGCCAGAGGAGGACATCTGATATCCTCTCTATTAGACTCCATTTTATGCTCCTCTGAGACTGGGCCTCTCGTTGAACCTAGAGCTAGGAAGGCAGCCGCCAAGCCCCGCCACTCCTCTTGTCTCTGTGTCCTGGCATTTCAGGTATGTATGCTGGCTTGTGACGTGGGTGCTGGGATCCAAACTCAGGTCCTCATGGTTGCACAGCAAGCATTTGTAACCACCGAGCCACCTCTCCAGTCCTCTCACCACGTTCTCAGTGGTTGCCTGCTCATGCTCTGTTTGTTCTCTAGCCTACCGACGTACATTTACATTTTTAGATTTTGTGATCTAGACTGTGCTGCAGTGACTATCCTTGCAGCTGTCTTTTTGTGCAATTGCATAAGCATTGCTCTAGGCACTGGTAAGTGAAATTATTCATTCCTGTTTTAAGTCTTAACAGATTGAGCAAAGTTATCATCTAATGTGGTTAGGCCAATTTCCACATCCATGTATTGTTACTTTATGTCCCCAAACATACATTAAAAATGAGGCATTCTTGTGAGTAGCAAGTGGCTTCTGATAGTATTAATATGCCTTTCTAATGACATTATTGTTGGCCATTGGTATTTCCTTCTCAGCAAGTTACCCACTTATGCTCTGTGCCATTTTTTTTCTCTTCTGTTTTCTTTTATCTATGGATTTATAAGAGTGCCTCCCACATTCTAGATGCTTACCCTGGCCTCCGCTATCACTGCAGAGCCTCCCCTTCAGAAAAAGGATCCCATCCTTCTACTCTTGTGCATCCCTTCTTGGGGTCTAGTCTGAGTGTTCTCATCTCCGACCACATTCCTCCCCATGCAGAGCAGTGACACTTGGCTCAGAGGGTCCTTCTGAAAATATTCACATGAATTCAGACCATCCCACAGGGATAAATATAATGGGCATTCTGTCCTGGAATACACAAACCCTTTTGCATTATGATAGGAAAGAAATGTAAAACGTGAGAACATATGGACATATGTATAGTACTACGATTTTGGGTATCAGTCTCCTGGAGTTCAAATCTGGTCTCTGCCCTTCACTAATAATATTAATAAACTTAGAGACTTAGAGACAATTACTTAGTTATGGAGAGTACGTGAAGTCATTTATAAAATGGGACTAGTAAGAGGACCTATTTTATGCATCGATTGGGTTTCTGAGGTAGAGTCTTAGTAAGCACAGGCTCTTCTAGAATTTCTTGTGTATCCCAGGCTGTCCTTGAACTCATGATCCTACTGTCTCAGTACCACAAGTACTGTGGTTATGGGGCAGGCTATCATGTAGATCTTAAAAGTGCCAGGCAGTGGTGGCACATGCCTTTATTCTCAGCACTCGGGAGGCAGAGGCAGGCAGGCAGATCTCTTGAGTTTGAGGCCAGTCTGGTCTACAGAGCGAGTTCCAGGACAGCCAGCAATATACACACACACACACACACACATGAAAAAAACAAAAAAAGTGCCTAGTTTATATGATTATTTCAAATATTAAATGAACTAACATGCAAAATGTTTAAACAAGAGAAAAAGTGCCTAGTTTATATGATTATTTCAAATATTAAATGAACTAACATGTGCAAAATGTTTTCAGCAAGAGCTTGCTTGGCATATAGCGAACTCTTTATAAACATTAGCTATTGTGAAATAAAAGTTTGAGCTTCATACAGTTTTTTAAAAAACCACAGATGACTTCTAGTTCAAGGTGGTTGAATTTGAGTAATGTGGTTTGAGAATGCTCCCCATAAGCTCACATTTCAGTGCTTGGCCCCCAGATGGTGGAACTGTTTGGGAAGGATTAGGAGATATAGCCTTGTAGGAGGAGGTATCACTTTTTTTTTTTTTAAAGGGATGGGCTTTGAGGTTTCAAAAGTCCACATCATTCGCAGTTAGCTCTTTCTCAGCCTCTTGCTGTGGATCTGATGTAAGCTCCCAGCTGCTGCTCTAGTGCCATGTCTGCCTGCCTGTCGTCATGCTCCCCATCATGATGGGCATGAACTCTAACTAATCCCTGAAACCATGAGCTCCCAATTAAATGTTTCCTTTTAGAATTTGCTGCAATCCTGGTGTTTTGTCACCTCAGTAGAAAAGTAAGACAAGTATCTAAAAAGCACACTTACATAGCATGGTTATCTGACAGAAAGATTAAAAGTCAACTGACCAACCAACAAACAAAAAACCCGGAATGTGGGTCCTAACATGGTGTAGAAATGCTGCGGCCCAATCAATTCCTTTACAGGGTGTGGTACAGCTCAGAGACGTGTGAACAGAATTGATCTGGTGCTTCATTTGCCAGCCTTACAATTAGGCAATTTTTTATTAATTGCTTTATTTACAGGAATTTACGGTATTTCATAATCTTCACAGAACATGCCATTGATTTCAAATTGCCCTAATTCAAGGTTGCAGGTGCTGGGAGCCCTCTGTGCTTGCTGCAAATTTCCTAGACCTTTTGCTGTTTTCCGAATTGTTCAGGCTAGTTGTCAGTGCTGGACAGAGTCTCCTGTTCTGCTTGGGAATTATTTTTTAGTGCTGGGGACTGATCCTTGTACATTCTAGGCAAGTACACTACCATGGAGCCATATCCCCAGTCAGATTTTTTTTTTTTAAATTTAGGTTAAAATGTCTCAGAATTACTTGAGGCTATACTTTGAGCTACATGGTACCTACCATACCTTTGTATCTGGGGCACCGGAAGCTGTGGTGACTAACACTTCACACATGCTACAATGGCTAAAATTAAAATTCTGACAATAGCATATGCTGGCAATGATGTCATTCCATTGGAAGTCTTGAATGTTGCCAGAGGGGGTACAGAATAGTACAAATGCTTTGGAGAACTATTTCTGTATATTTGTAAAATTAAATATATGACCTAGCAGTTCCACTCTCAGGAAACTACTCAAATAAAATTAAGGCATATATCCACACACAGAATTGGAGGTATGTCCAAATAAAGTCTTACCTGGGAGTATGCATAGTGGTATTGACATCAAAAAATGGAGCAATAAAATGTTGATTAGTTGGAGAACAAACAGATTGTAGAATATTCATACAATGAGATGCTACTTATTGAACAGTAAAAAACTACAGATTCATATAACAACATGAGTAAACCTAAAAAAAGTCATGATATTGCACAAAACCAAAACAGTTATAAAAGTAAATGTGATTCTCTTGAGCTGAGAGAGGGCAAACTTTACTTATAGGGATAGAAGTCATGGCTGTGTTTCTCCCAGAAGTAGGGGTGGTAAGGGTGGGATTTCCTATTATATTGATGAATGCAATTATTAATGCCACCCAAAGTGAACATTTAAGATTTGTGCATTTTCATATATAAAATTCCCTTTGATTAAAATGTTTAGCATGTATGCTGCATTTTTTTTTTTTGTTGTTGTTAATGTGACATGAGCTAACATCATTTGAGAGGTGGAAACCTCAATTAAGAAAATGCCTCCATATTATTGGGCTGTAGGCAGGCCTGTAGGGCCTTTTCTTAATTAGTGATTGATGTGGGAGGGCCCAGCCCATTGTGGATGGTTCCATCCCTGTGCTGGTGGTCTGGGGTTCTATAAGAAATCGGATTGAGCAAGCCACGAGGAGCAAGCCAGTAAGAAGCACCCCACCATGGCCTCTGCATCAGCTCCTGCCTCCAGGTTCCTGTCCTATTTGAGTGCCTGTTCTGACTTCCTTCAGTGAAGAAAATTTAGAAACATAAGCCAAATAAACACTTTTCTCCCCAAATTGGTTTGGCCATGGTGTTTCATCATAGCAATGACAACCCTAAATGAGTCAGTATGTTTCCCAAGACTGGATATCATGCCATTTTTGTTGGCTCATAGTCCTGATTATTTGAAGTCATCGGGGTTGTCATCTTTTTGCAGTTTCAGGTGGTGTAACATCTTAACTGCATGCCAGGAGCTCTTAACTTGTGCCCCATTAATAGTTTTCAATGACTCTATGAACTCCATGAAAAGGAATGCACAATTTGCCTGCCCACATGCGTGTATTTTCTTTTCCCTTCTGGAGCAAGTTGATAACAGCCATTATATTCCCAAAAGGCTCTTTGGCCTCAAACATTATTAGATAGAATCCATGTTAGAAAGTCCACTCAGTCTGTGTAGCAACCCATACCAATAGTGAATGGTGAATGAAGTAATAAGTGGAAACCATTTCCAGTTGACACTCAAGGGTCCAGTTGCCTAATAGTTTACAGATTAAAATGGACAAATGTCAGTGGCTCTGTGAAGCTAACAAAAAATTAGAATAACCTCTGACTTGAGAAATAGGATAAAAACCTGGTAAGAATAGGAAGCAGATTAAGTGCATACCCAAAAATTTTTCTATCATTTTTATAGAAAGGGATATCCGTTATCCAAGAATAGTCTAGTGTTCTAGGTCCATGATGAAATTGGATAGAAAAGCATAACAAGTATCAGTTATGATTCAAAAATTACTTAATGTTTTTGACAGAAAAAAATCCAGTTGCCATAATCAACACTAACAGAATTGTGTCAGATTCAGCTTTGGCAATATTTAACAAAAGAACACAGTTTTGATGTGGCTTGGTAATGGCAATTTTCTAGCTCCAAGTTTTGAGAATTGTTATTCATTCTTTGTCCCTGGTTACAGGCAGACAATGCAGTGTTGAATTGATGGCACAGGGTTGCGAATCTGTTTAAAATGGGAAGTCATTCCCTGAATATCTGAGAATGCTGGTTTCCTTTTATGTGCAATTGACAGGTTTCTGTGGTCTCTTTTGTCCCATGTGTCTTGAGTGTGACACTGCCAGGCATTATGGAGAGTGTCTTTGTTGGCCACTGTTACCAGGGTCTACCTTTGCATTGAGAATTGGCACCAGAGAGAGACATAAGATACAGGTAAGGGCAATTGAGGCATGTGTGAATATTTATGAGAACTTAGATGCTTTTCAAACCTATGATTTCCCAAAGTGATTGGGAAAGAGAGGGGATATATATGTGTGTGTGTGTGTGTGTGTGTGTGTGTGTGTGTGTGTGTGTGTGAGTGAAGATGCCTAAAAATCTCACATTTAATGGAAAACTGTGGAGAATGAAAGTTCTGATTTCATTATTTACCAGAAGTTATTACTTAACTGAAATGCTGTATAATGAAGGATATTTCCAAAAAGAAATAATAATGCTGGTTGTTGGTCAACAGGTTTGGTCAGATCACGGGCTAACTTACACTTCCTGGGATATACTTTGATGCACAGAAAGAGGAGGTTGTAACCACTGTTCCCTCCCATCTACAAAAATAAAACCACACCCAAGTCTCATTACTTCAAGACAGGGCAGATGGAATCAAACCTAAGTACTTTTTGTGAGGTCCAACTTAAAGTGTAGCCCATGTGATACATGTACAATTTACTTTGGTGGTTCCTTGGCATCCTTAACTTCTAGTAGAGCCAAGACTGGAGTCTGTGAGAGGGTGAGGAGAGGTGGGTGACAACACAGACACAGAGGGAAACTTCTGCATTGGATACATAGGCACAGGCACACAGAGACACAGACAGACAGACAGACAGACAGACAGATGCTCTCTCTCTCTTTGTTTCTCTCACACACACCTAGTATTTAGGTATTTTGTGGGGTGATCTCTACAGTACCTTTCTATGTGAACAAAACAAGACACAGACTTGTGTAACTATTCACACATAAGGATGATATGTGTATATGTTTAGGCTGATAAAGTTTGCCTGGAAATGTAACTGGTAACCAATGATTGTCCCCAGGCAGGTAGTTGAGTGGCTGGGGACAGCTCTGGGGGAGGAGAGGGGAGATTTTCTTTTCACTTTCACCCCTTTTTACTATGGGGATTTGGGACCATTCTATTTATTACCTGAAGGGACACTAGCCCACTAGATTATGTGGCTCTGGCAGGCCTTGCCCTTCTCCCTGATTCCCTCTGCCTTGCTAAAAGCCATTAGATTGCATTCTTAAAGCTAGCCGCCAAGGTCTGTTCCTTTATGTGGTCACTTCCTCCTCCTGAGGCTGACCACCAAGGTCCAGCTTTGAAAATATTGAAGTCTAGCAATCAAAAGCCCCCTTGGCTCATCTAATTAACGTGCTCAATTAAAATTAAACACCTCACCCTAACAGGGGGTTTCCCATTTTACCTTTAAAAGCTGCCATTTTCTTATGTGCCACGTCTGTCTTCTCCCTGTCCAGTGGCAGTCCTTTGTCTGTCCCCCCTCCCCAGGGATAAATACTCCTGCCCTTCTCCCTTGTTCCCTTTCCCTTCTCCCTGGTCCTCTATCTCTTGTGTGTTTTCTCTTATTCCTTGTCCTCTGTCCCTCTGGGCCAAACAAATCTTTGTGCTGAGAACTTAGTTTTGGGGACCAAACAAATATTTGTGCTGAGAACTTAGTTTTGGGGTCCTGAGCTGATACTTTTCCTTTCATTACCTACTACAGAAGATAAATATGATGATTCTAAGAGACACTAAAAAGAAAAATCCGAGATTTCATTAAGAAACACGTGTCAAAAATCGAAGGGGCAGGGCTCTGAAGTGCAGATATTGGCCAGCTACTGCTTGACACTTGGACTTTCCAGTGTCCTAAGTGTTGACTTAAGGATTTGGTGGATCTTGGAAGCAGAGGGTGGGATGGGCCAGCAGGTAACATTACTCAGGTCCTTGAGAAACCAACGGTCCTGTATCATTGCCAATAGTAACCAAGTCTTGCCCTAGGGGACACTCTGTGAAGACTGGATGGTGGTGCATTGCTGCTGGCCTTTCTCGGTCTGTCAGGTGGCCCGAGAACTCAAGATGAGAACCCCCCAGCTCTACGAAATCTGTGCAGTGCAAGCACCCAAGGACACCCTGGTTTGACAGCACTCCTGCCCTCCCTCCCCCGCCCTTTCCTCTCCAACCTGTCTCAGATTGTTTTTTTATTCATTAGGTTCTCACTGGAATAGAATAAATGATTTACTCACCGCTGCCCCTGCTGTGTGGATTCCCCTGAGGTCTTGAGTATTTTCTGACTCTGCTACTTCGGTCCAGCTCTGCACAGTACCTTCTAGTGTCCCTTCAGTACCCTGGGTTTTGGGAGGTTGACTTTTCACCTAGTTTTCTGATGCCATCCTTTCCTGAGAGGTGACTGTGAGGCTAGAAAAATTCCCATGTATCTTTATTGTATCAATCCACTTTCAGTGATGTTGATGTATCAGTGATTAAGTAGGCACCCGTGTCTTTGAAACAGTAAGCCATTGCCCTTCCCCTGGCCCAGCTCCTTCAGTCTTAGTTGCACAAGAAGAAAGTCTGAAGTCGGTGCTGATCTTGAACTCTTCTCCAACACTTGCAGGCTCCTTGCTCCAGGCTCAAAAATCATAATTGGGCAAACATTGCGAATTAAATTGTATTTCCTGCTTCTCCTACATTCCACAAAATATAGCTTGCAGCCCAACCCCTGGTACCTGTGAAAGAGACCTTATCTGGAAACAGTCTTTGCAAATGTGATGAAATTAAGATGAGGTCAGCTGGATGAGGCCCTCATCCAGCATGACAAGTGTCCTTTAAAGAAAAGGGAGAGGTAGAGACACACGTGTGAAGTCACATGAAGACTGGGGGGGAGACTGAAGTAATGATGCTACCAGGCAAGGACTGCTTAGGGATGCTGAAGCTGGAAGAGGCAAGGGAGAATCCAGCCCAGAGGTGTGGAGGAAACATGGTCCTGCCAATATCCTGCACTACAAGTCAAGCCATGTAGTACTGTGTGGAGTGAGTAGCATTAAGGACTCAGTAAATACACTAGTTCTCTCTCTGTCTATCTCTCTCTGTCTTTCTCTCTCTCTTCCTTTGTTTTTATTTTTTTATTTTTTATTTTTTTATTTCTCTGTGTAGCCTTGGCTGTCCTGGAACTCACTCTTTAGACTAGGCTGTCCTCAAGAGATTCTCCTGCTTCTGCCTCCCAAGTGCTGGAATTAAAGGCATGTGCCACTACTGCCTGGCTTTTTTTTGGAGGGGAGGGGGTATAAATGAATGGAACATAAATTCATAATACCAGCCACAAGTTTATGAGAGGAGATAAGTCATAACAAGGTAAACATACTGGAAAGTGTGCTTATAATAATCATAGCATACCTTAACCTCCATAAAGCATCTGGTCTACACCCAGAAGACTTCACAACCAATGGACACCTTGAAGTAAACCTAGCTCTAATAAACACAAATGGAACAGTTTATAATATCATAAACTAAAACACCCAAACCAAAAGAAGGATTGGAGAAAGAAACTTTTTTTAGGAACTATAGAGAAAGTACCGTAAGGGTAAGATGAAAGATATATTAAAAGTAAAAACAGCCGGGCGGTGGTGGCGCACACCTTTAATCCCAGCACTTGGGAGGCAGAGGCAGGCAAATCTCTGTGAGTTCGAGGCCAGTCTGGGCTACCAAGTGAGTTCCAGGAAAGACGCAAAGCTACACAGAGAAACCCTGTCTCGAAAAACCAAAATAAATAAATAAATAAATAAATAAATAAATAAATAAATAAATAAATAAAATAAAAGTAAAAACAAGCGAAAATTAAACCTTGTACCTTTTGCATAATGAGTTAACTAGAAAATCCCTAAGAGGACTTTAGCTAGAAGCCCTGAAACCAAATGAGCTACCTAAGAGCAATTTCGAGAATGAGCCCATCTATGTAGCAATAGTGGGACGACTTTTAAGTAGAGGTAAAAAAACCTAATGAGCTTGGTAATAGCTGGTTACCCAATAATGACACTATTGATAATTTATGGCTGTGGTGGATGGAAAGAAAATGGCCCCCAAAGGGAGTGGCACTATTATTAGGTGTGGCCTAGTTGGAGGAAGTGTGTCACTGTGGAGGTCTCATATATGTTCAGGCCATACCCAGTGAGACAGACCACTTCCTGTTGCCTGTGGATCAAGATGTAAGAACTCTTAGCTCCTTCTCTAGCACCATGCCTGCCTGCATGCTGCCATGTCCTGCCATGATGATAATAGACAAAACCTCTGAAACTGTAAGCCACCTCATTGAATGTTTTCCTTTATAAGAGTTGCCATGGTCATGTGTCTCTTCACAGCAATAGAAACCCTGAGACAATGACTATCTTACGTTTGTAGCAAATTGTATGAATTTTTATTTATAGTTGGGGCATAAAGTTTCTTTACTGCTGAGCTATCTCTCCAGCTAGATGTAAACTTTCTTTTAAAATTAAAAAGGAAATTATTGTATGCGTGTGGGTGTTTTGCCTGCATGTATATCTGTATACTATTTGTATACCTGATGCCCATAGAGGCCAGAAGGCATCCGACCCCCTGGAAATGGAGTTACAGATGGTTGTGAGCTCCCCTGTGAGTGCTTGGAGATGAACTTGGGTCTTCTGGAAGGGCCAATGCTTTCATGTCTGAGCCATCTCTCAAGGCCTGTCAAGTTTCTTTTAAAATTAAATTCTCCGTGAAAATGGAGTCAGTTAAATAGGCATGATAGTTCTCACCTGCAATCTCAGCATTTGGAGGACTAACTCAGGAGAATTGCCATCATTCAAAATAAAGTAAGTTAATAGCATACCTGGGTGGGGGATATAGCAAACACTCTGAAGGGGTAAACTCTGATTCAAACTCTGATTTAAAAAAAAATCATTGTGCTAATTATTATTCTTGCGTATTGTGTTGTATGTTCACTCGTGGTGTACGTGTGCCATGGAGTGCATTTGGAGACCAGAGGGCAACTTTTGCGAATCTTATCATGGGTTACAGGGATGGAACTTAAATGATCAGGCTTGTACGTTAAGTGTTTTTACTGACTGAGCCGTCTCAATGGCCCAACACTAACAAGCTCAAAGTGCTCTGAATATTTTGAGTTATTCAACCCTTAATGTTTCTTCTTGATGAACACTTCAGAAAAGAGGCCTGAGCCCCGGAAATGCAAGTGACCTTCCCAAGGCCCCGTCGCCCCTGAAGCCCACATGGTTGCTCAGACCAGAACATTTTTTACAGAGGTGAATTCTTCATGGTCACCTTTGCCAGATATACATGCAGGCAAAACACCCACATGCATACAATAATTTCCTTTTGAATTCTAGAAGAAAGTTTACATCTAGCTGGAGAGATAGCTCAGCAGTTAAGAAACTTTATGCCCCAACTATAAATAGAAAGTAGTACAGTTTACTACAAATATAAGATAGTCATTGTCTTAGGGTTTCTATTGCTGTGAAGAGACACGTGACCACGACAACTCTCTGTCCCTAATCATTTCCACAAAATCACTTTTGGATGCTCAGAGCAGTTGCTAGGAGCTGGACCTCTTGGGGAAAGATTAAATGATCCGTGCCGACATTTAATCTGTGATCAACCAACAACGGGAAAAAAGCAGATGCGGTGGAGAAGATGGTTAAACGAAAATACACTGTTTTCATTGTTTCAAGCTAAAACACATACCAGGCTTCATGGGCTCAAATTGGCAACGTACTTAGCTTTGGCCAGGAAGCCTGGAGTAACCTCTGCGCTTTCACACAACCGATCCGGTCTGAAGAAAGGGAAGATGGCGGCTCATGGCCAGGACTCGGGCGCAGCCTGCCTCTCTGTTGATAGAAAGGGTGTGTGTTAGTGGACCTTTCCCCTAGGGAGCCCCTTTCCCATTTGCTGCTTCTGATCAGCAAAGAGCAAACTTAGTGTTTCATCAGAGACAGATCCAGACAGGTCAAACTCAGGGCTCTGAAAACACTGTATCTACCACGGGATTATAGAACATGAAACGGGATTTATACGATAGTTCTTTGCACATAGTACAGAGTAATCCTGAAGGGAGATGGCATTGGGCCACAACTCATGATTTTCTCTAAAAGAACTTGTCAAGGCCAAGAAAAAGAACTTGACAAAAACTTGTGCTCCCTATGAGTACCATTATCCAGTACTAGATGTTTCTGTGACAGATAATAACTGATATTAAACATCCATCAGCTGCATCCACTCACCAGCTGTGTGAGTTGGACAGAACAGAGACCCTGGCCCTGGTATGGCCCTAGGGGACACTGTATAGGTCTGCTGGTGCTACTGTTGGCTTTTTTCCATTTGTCAGGTGGTCTGAGGATGCAAGACAAGAACTTCCCAACTCTATGCAATCTGTGAAATTTGTCCTACAATTCTGAAAATTACCCAACAGTGAAGGCACAGTCTGCTTATCATAGACAAATTCCTCTCGGTTTTACCAGGAGGCAAACTGTGGAACAAGTCTCTGATGACTCCCTGTGGGGCTGCGAATGCCAACACACAGGCAAGAGGCATTCCAAAGTAACCTGCACAGAATGTCACGCATCACAAACCCAGGACACAAGCCAACAGAAAGCTCCTCAACAGCTCTTCTATTTACAGAAGAAACTAAGGACAGAAGCTGCATTTTTTTTGGATACTCTTAACTTTTTGGAACAAAGCTATGAAAAGTTTGGATGTCCTTGAGTGTCCATTTTCTAGTGCAATCATTTTTATCTGTTTATATATTTCATGTAGCTAGAATTTATTTATCCCATATTCCATAATGACTTTCTGCATGACATCCCTGTTATGAACATTATTTACAAACATATTAACTCAAAAGTATCCCCCTTTGGTCTTTTAAAAGCACTGATTTTTTTTTTAAAGAAGTAAGCAAAGATAGAAGACTCTATAGCATTTCTGTTTAAAAATCTGTAGAGGAATTAATATTTCTTCCAGTCTATTTTCTTGGTTCATTTTCCACCTAAGTGACACTGCTTCTGCTTGACCAAATGCAGAAATAAGAAGCGATGATTTTTAGAAGGCACTCAGACTATCATAGTTAGAAATCTATCGTAGGCCAAATCATGGCTGACTTTATTGTAATATTCAACCATACTGCTTTTTTTTGCTCACCTACCACCTTTTGACCCATGATTATTTGTACTCTGTATGATGGGACTGAGTCCGGACATGAATGCCTTAGAAAGTGAGGAGA